GTATGAAACGGAAGTGGACACCATACAGATGTAAATAAACAACCATTTCCCTGGTTACAGTCAACCAACTTAACACGTAGCTGTCAAAATACCAGAATGAAGAAAGTCTGATCAAATAACTCAGGGAGCTCAACCTTCTCAATTTTAAGATAAGAGCTCAAAGAAGAATCTCTATGATTTACAAAAAACAAAGATGAATCAAATAAATTACTGATGTGAAAGAGATCATATGTGAGGTCCATTGTGGTGAGTGTTAAGCTAATATAGCCTAACCCTTTCGCTTATATTAGCTTTTTTTTAAATTGAATAGAATGAATCTCCTATTTAGCCTGATAACAATATACAAAGCAGGTACTCCAGAAATAACTGACTTAAAGTGAATGGTTTGACCAATTTTAAATTAGCCAATAGCAGATATAAATTTAATAGTTAAAAAATAAGCAGATCTTAGCTTTGCAAAACTAAATAAGAACACTGTTTCCCATTTGGCCATATAAGCTCAAATATACAAAACCTACAATACTTGTTCAAAGCATATTTAATGGTATCTATTAAACTTATTAATCAAAACATACTGTATCCAAAGATCAATTCTGCAAATGTTTCCATTCATTGCTTTTATGTTTTATATTTTGACTTGTTCTACAAAAGATGCTGTGAGTCAGCTTAAAATAATAAATTCAATAAAACAGGAAACTCTATTAGGTAAAAAAATCAGAATAAGAAAAAAAGGTAGAACAGAAACTCAAGACCAAAGGGAGAGTTAGATCATCAATATTAGCTCATAGGTTTTTACAGGGTTATTAAAATTAAGTTGCAAATTTGACTCTGCGTTTCCTAGTGGCAAAGCAGAAAGGGAAACTTAATCGATTATCTAATTCTAGTTCTGCATGATGAAAAGAAAAAAGGACACTCAATAATTATTCAGGGGGGGTAAAGCTTTTCTTTGGCATTTAGAGTTGAATGAAATTTCTTGCATGAGTCTTCAAATAGGAGCTGTAGAATGAACTATGATCTTAATAACCACATCTCTTAAGTAACTTAAGAGTAGGTTTCTTGTGACTGTCTTTATTAATAAAACGCTTCCTTGTGAGCACAATTTGGGGGGAGGAGTGCAAAGAATGCAAAACAAAGTAGACCAAGTACAAACCTGGCCTAACACCTAGAACTGGAGGGGAATGGGTGGACATCATAGCCTTTGTTCAGCCAACTCTCTATATAAACATTTCTCTCATATAAGCTTCTGATCAAATTTATGAGCAGACAAGTCATAGTTCCTGGCGTTCTATACCACCATTAAAGGGAGATTAGTATACAACAATTATTCTTCATCCACTAGTTCCCCACATTTGAAACTCAAGGACATATAAAATTTCTTTTCTCTACTTTTTCTGCAACTATAACAATGCTCGTTCTAACATAGGTGAATTGAGCGGATGTTACCGGATGTAAATAATAACAAAATTATGGATTGGGATTTTTTTTAAAAAAGGACAGTAAGAACGTTCAGTGGGCTTCCCAGCAGACGCTACTGGTAAAGAACCCATTTGCCAATGCAGGTGGCAAAGGAGATGCGGTTTCCATCTCTGGGTTGTGAAGCTCTCCTGGAAGGAGGGCATAGCAACCCCCTGCAGTATCCTTGCCTGGAGAATCCCATGGACAGAGGAGCCTGGAGGGCTACAGCCCACGGGGTCGCAAAGAGTTGGACACAACTGAAGCTCCTTAGGACGCACGTATGCAAGCGACATTTAGCGAGGAAGGGATAGGAGTTTTGGTAATAAAACCTTAGGAAAGATATAGAAAAATTAGAGTAAATCCAGGTTTTAGGATTGAATTCCAGCGGTGCATGTGGAGGCAAGGTGCTCAGTGGCAAGTGGCTCAGAGGTCAGGACCCAGGTAGTGAGTCATTCAATTGCAGAGATAGTGTGCACTGGGATGTGGAGAGAAAAATGCCTCTTTCATTCTGACAATAGGAACTGATTCCAAGGCCAAGAGTGCCAGCACAATCAAGCTATCTGCAACAAAGAGAGTTTAATGTAACTGCAGGGGAGGGTTCTTTTAAGAAGTTTGGAATGAGCAAAGAAGAATGATGTAAATTAACTGCTCAATATCTCTGACTACACAATTAACATGCATAAAATGTAGCTATCTTTATGTCATGGGAGAATTTTTGCTCTGTTCAAATAAATCATAACATATTTTTCATAAGCACCCTCATACTGCTGATTTGCCCAATCTTGCAACCTCTTACATAAAAGTGTTATTTCCTCACCATCTAGGAAGAGCCCAAGCAGGCTGGAGGAGCAATAGTAATAAACTAGGGCTTACCACACTTTTGTGGAAATAAGTCTTTGGGGTAATATGTAATAAGGATGGTGAAGAGTATTAAAATGATAAAAAAGGAAAGGAAGAAAAAGGAAAGATAATAAGTGACTGGATCATTCCCAGATAATTTTGTTAAACAAAGTGAAAAAAGGTTAATACTGACTCATAAAACTTACATAACAGAAAAATAAAAGCAAAACTGGAAATACCACAGTGCAAAAATAAAGCAAGTGAAATGTAATGCAGTTATCCTTGATGATTTCAAGATAACATAAAATTAAAAAGGAGAAAGGAACAAACCTTCCAAACCCTCAATTTCACAACCACGTTGGTTGTCAAATTTGAAAACTGATATGTTTATATACTGAGGGAAACCCATACTGTGTATCTATACTGTGTTTTTTGAATCATTTAGGAATCACAGACTCTTCTAAATGTTTTATTTTCACCTTTACCTGTAATAAATACATTATAATTAAGTCAACCACAACAAATCAACCCTAAAATAAGTTAATATGTCACTTATTAACCAAATCATTGTTACTCTTGGAGTAACCTGAAATTTCCTTTAAACAAGTTGCACTTTTTAACTGTGTTTTAGAGTTTAATTAAAACAGGTTTGATTACCCATTAGAAAAAAAAGTGCAACCTTAAAAATGAAATTAACTTATATTAGCAGTTGGAGAGGATTACCTTATTTAATAACACATTAAAGAAGGAAAACATATGGTCCTAAAAATGTCAAAATTCAACTTAAATACTGAGATAACTGATTTTGACTATTTATGCAAAGAAGTAATTTTAAAAATACAGTTAAACTTCAACCACCATGGAGTAAACAAATATGTTTTAATCCTAAACTGTCTTTAGATGAAGGCTGAAACACAGCTCATTCAACAAATAGCCTATGAGCACCTATTATGCATCAGACCAGGGGATTACGAGACTGAACAAGGGGAAGTCTCTGTCCTCCTGGCGCTCTCAACCTTAATACGTTAATAAAATCGGAGCGAACAATGATCCGTTTTCCCAGACTCTAAACTTTACTGCTTAATACGAAATTTAAAAATGATAGCCTATGAAGAGATAATCTTGCCAAAAGGTTATCGTTCGTTCTGATGTACGAACTTTACACGTGGGAGAGAAGAAACAATTTATAGCCAGTTTCTCAAAAGTACAAACCGTATTAACATCTAGCTGGAAGCTAGGCTGAGCCCAAGGCTGCCTCTGCTGGCCGACTCCGAGCATCTTTCCAGCAGATTCTAAACTCCCTACACCTGTATCAAACTTGCCATGCTCCCAAACACATCCCTTCACGAAAGCTGAAGGCTCGCTCCCAGGTAGGCAAAACGAGAATTCCCCAGCCTCATCTAGCTCCTGAATATCTGATTTCTAAAGGGGCCTTCTCCAACTGGCCCGAAATGACTGACTATAAGAATCTGAGACGTCACTTTCACGTATCAATCAGCTAGCTCCGAAATACACCAAAATCCAGAGTGATTTGTACCTGCCGCTAGAATAACTCTTTGCGTGGCTGCACATTGGGAGAAAACAGGAAGAAGGCATCTGTCCATCAGGCCGAAAAAATACGGTGACATTTATCCACCTGAGTTGCTGAAAATTCGGCGGTGCTCCCACTCTCCATCCCCCAATAATCCTCACACCAATCAATCCTCCCCGCCCCTGCAAGCAGCGCGGGCCCCTCCGGGCCCAGGGGCTGGACGGGGAAGGGTCACGCTCTCCTTCGCCACCGCTCGGCCTCCCGAGCTCAAGAGGAGGCTGTCAGGTTAGCAGGGGGGGTGCTGCGCCCAGCGCCATTAGAACACCTCCGAGCGCCGCACCGAGCTCCGGCGGGAGGCAAGTTTCGCGGGTCCCGGCCCCGGCCCCCCACCCCTCCCCAGCGGCAGCATCAGCCGCGGGTGGCGGCCAGGGCTGGTCCCCGCCTAGCCACCTACCTACTACAGGGCGGGGGCGCCGGCTCCTCGGGTCCCGGAGAAGGGCGTCGGGAGCTCGCATTTCTGGGAGCGGTGGCCTGTGCCGCTGGGCTCGGGGGAGCGCATCCTCCGGGGTGGGTGGGAGGAGGGGTCGGGGGAGGACCACGCGGTGACGCGGAGCCGGGGCAGGAGGGAGGAGCGCCCAGGCGCGCGCCCCGCGGGACCAGCGTCCCGTGCCAGTGGACGGACGCGGCGGCCGCCGCCGGGACTCCTCAGGCCTCTCCCCTTCGCCCGGCGCCTAGCCAACCCTGCGGGTACGCCCGCGGGTCAGGACATCGGCCACGACAGGCTGTCGGGCCCGGCCGGAGGCGGGGAGCCGCGGGTGGCGCGACGCGGTGCAGAAGCCCGCCTCTAGCTCCGCCCGGCCCGCGCCACGCTCGGCGCCCCTCCGCCGCGGCGGGGGCCGGGGAGCTCGGCGGTTCGGCTCGGCCGCTCCGGCTGCAGCTGCCGCATCCTCCCCTCCCCGGCGATCTGGGGGCTGGGAGGCTGGGGGCACCCGCGACGGCTGGCAGCCTCGGCGGCCCCGGCGCAGCCCCAGCCCCGGGCCCGGCGGCTCCGCCCCGGAGAGCTGCGCGCGCGGCCTCCGCAGGCCGCGGCCCTTTGTGACGCCTCCCGGGAGCGAGCTCGAGGCGCTTCGCGCGGCCGGCCGGCCGGTAGCGGAGCCTAAAGAGGTCTTCTTACCTCGCCCCGGGCGGGTAATCCCCTACTGCTGGCCGCCACTCTTAGAGTGAATACGGCTCTGAGAGCAGAGCTCGAGTTCGTGTCTCCCCGAGCTTTAAAGCCTTGAGGTTCCTTGTAGCGCGGGGACCGCTGGTCACGATAAATTCATCCTCTGTCCTTTCCGGCGTTGTGTTTCGCATAGGGGCCCCCGTGACCTCCCCCTCCCGCTCCCATCCTCCGCACAGCATCCAGGGTGCTGCCACGTTGCTATCAGTGCAGCAGTGGGGACCGAGCAATTGAGCCCTCCAGGCTGACTCTTGGCACAGATCCGAGGGAGCCTGGGTTGGGAAGCTTGGCATCAGCTGCGGGCCGGTGCCTGTGAGCTTCCCATCCCCGCTGGGCATCTGTTCCTTCTAAGGTCCCATGACAAGCACCGCAAGATGACTGGGAGGATTTGGCCGTGAAGTTGACCCTTACGTAAGGAAAGACTTAATGGTGGAGCCTGCAGCTGGTGCGATAACATTGGTGTGTCAGAGGACAGACACACAGGCCCAAGAGATAGCGGCCTTCTTGCTGCTTATGCTGTAACAGCCTCTCCTGGAAAGACAAGCGAAGCATTTCACAGAGATGGTTTGGAATTTCAGTTGCAACTGGTCACTTTATACTGTCTTGAAAAATATGGAATAATTACCCAATTCTGCACTGAGCATGTATAAAACTGGACCTCGGGTCTACATCTTTTTGGTTTGAATGTGAGGAATTGGAAATTTTCCTTTTTTTTTCCTTTAGGCATTATGTTATTTGTAAACGATTTCCAAAGGGAAACAAGGCTCCTGCAATTTAAAGAGCTGATTTCATTGAATCAGAAGAACGTGGTTTGGGACCTCCAGAGAAAGGGAGAGGCTCTCACACTTCTTTGATGTTTTTGAAATCTAAGATTAATGTAAAAACTGGCAAAGACGCGTTCCATAGCAATACAAGCTGTGATAAAATCGTGATAAAATTTTTGAGATGAATTCTTCTGGGTAAGTAGACATCCAGCGGGGTAGGAGCTGTGTTGTGTATGGGTCAGGAAACACAGGCCACAAGACTTGGTCACATCCAGAGACTCTGATTTGATCTACAGCCCGATTTTATTTTCAAAAGTACCTGTTATTATTCATGACATTTTGCCCCATATTCAGAACGACTTGACTAACATTTGTATATATGTGGTGAATAAGTGAAAAAATGAAGTCACCCTGTGAGGTTTGGCAGTTGCTTACTCTTAACAACATTTGTAAAGAGGTCTGCTTTAGATTGTAGTTTGTGCAGGAAATGTCCCGTGAGTGCAATTCTGGACTGTTTCCATCCTTCCACCAAGAGTCCCCTTTTGTTTTTCTCTCTATGGACCCCAGATTTTGTCAAGAAAAAAATTAAGCAGTGATCTTTTTTATTAGAAAAACATTTTTAAAGTACTAACCATCAATTATAAAATGTTTCTCAGCTTTTCAAAAACATTGCTTCTAATTTAAGGATCCTCTTTACTATCTTCATGAACTGCTCTAGAAGTATTATAGGCTATATCACATGCTTATTATAACATGTTATTACAGTGAAAGTCTTGGTAGAATAAAGACTTCTGCCCTTTAAAGAGGGAGAAAATTCCCCTTTAACAATTGTTCATTCTTTTTCATTTACTTGATATTTATTGATTTGCCTAAGTCTTGTCTTTACAGAGAAATCCAAAGAAATAAACCATTTCCTTATGCTCTAGATCTGTGCTGTGTCATACAGTGCCCACCAGCCACATGTGCCCATTTAAGTTTAAACTAAATTTAAAATGTAGTTTTTCATTCCACTAGCCACATTTCAAGTGCTGAAGAGCCACGCATGGCTAGAGACGACTCACTGGACAGCAGAGAATAGAAATTTCCGTTATTTCAAAAAATCCTTTTGGACACCACTGCTCTAAGTAGAGAGTGAAATTTTAATTGAGATAAAAGATATAGTATATAAACTTATTTGGGAAATCTTAGTACGGTACAAATCAAACCTCAGTAGAATGTGTACTTCTTAACAGGGTAATCTCTAAGAGTTCAGACTCTGGCTTCAGACTTCAACTCCATCACATGCTGACCTTGAGTAAATAATTTAACCTCTATTGTTGTTAATCTGTAAAAGACAGATGATACTAGTACTAAATATCAGGATTGATATAAGGCTCCCCTGGTGGCTCAGATGGTAAAGAATCCACCTGCAATGTGGGAGACCTGGGTTTGATCCCTGGGTTGGGAAGATCTGCTGGAGGAGGGCATGGCAACCCACTCCAGTGTTCTTGCCTGGAGAATCCCCATGGACAGAGGAGTCTGGCAGACTACAGCCCATGGAGTTACAAAGAGTTGGAAACGACTGAGCTTCTAAGCACAGCACAGCACACATAGGGATTAAGGGCTTCCCAGGTGGCTCAGTGGTAAAGAATCCGCCTGTCAATGCAGGAGAAGCAGGTTCAATCCCTGGGTCAGGAAAACACCCTGCAGAAGGAAATGGCAACCCACTCCAGTATTCTTGTCTGGCAAATCCATGGACAAGAGAACCTGATGGGCTACATTCCGCTGAGTCACAGGTTCAGTTCAGCCGCTCAGTCGTGTCCAACTCTTTGCGACCCCAAGGACGACAGCACGCCAGGCTTCCCTGTCCATCACCAACTCCCAGAGCCTATTCAAACTCACATCCATCACGTCAGTGATGCCACCCAACCATCCTCTGTCGCCCCTTCTCCTCCCGCCTTCAATCTCTCCCAGCATCAGGGTCTTTCCCAATGAGTCAGTTCTTCGCATCAGGTGGCCAAAGTATTGGAGTTTAAGCTTCAGCATCAGTCCTTCCAATGGATATTCAGGACTGATTTCCTTTAGGATTGACTGGTTGGATCTCCTCGCAGTCCAGAGTTGGACGCAATTTAGCAACTAAACAACAAAAACAATAGGAATTACATGAGATAATCCATGAATGAGGTTTAGGCTAAATTCTAGAATATGACTTCCATGAAAGGTATTTTTACAGCAATATACATTATTATAAGAAAGTTTTTTTTTTGTTTTTTTAATTATACCCTTAGCACTCCTCACTGTACTTGGGTAATAGAATGTGCTTGGTAAACACTGAATTGATGAGAAATTATAAGGCAACACTGATTTTATGTCTTTGAGGGCCTCTATTAAATATGAAAGCAGACTTTTTCATCTGTATTGCAGGGTAGAGGCCACTATAGAACAATTTAGGTAGAACTGTCATGTCGCTTTTCCTGGGGTAAAGAACCCTAAATGATGAGACTTTGGGGCAGATAGAAGCAGAGATTTCTTCAGCCCTTAAAGAAGAAAAGAGAGTCACTTGCCCGCCTCTTTTTTGCCCCTCAGGGTAGGAATGGGATAGTAGGAGGCGACTGGACCCCAGAGTTCAGGCATGAGGTGTTCTCCCAAGGGACTTTCCAGAGGAGTGAGCAGGAACTCCACAGCTAAGGGAACATCACCAAACAATAGCAACCATTACTGCAAATGTGTTCTGAATTTCTGATATAGCTATCCAAGAATAGTTTTGTAATGAAGTATGACCAGTGTGTCTGTTTCTGACCACAATACTAGTAACCTCTCATGAAACGGGAATTCCAGAAACATAGGCAAATACTGCTGCAGCACTTTGTCAAAATGAAAACCCCCGGGTAAGTAATGAGCTCACAACCACAGAAAGAACTGAAACTCCTTTGGGAGTATTCTCTGGAAAGGAGTTGAAGAGATTTTTTTACTGGGTAGTAAATTAAATCTACCAGCACTAAGACAGTTCATTCTCTAGTGGTTAAACCAATCCTGCTCTTTCTAGCACAAAGAGAAAAACATACCTGCTTTCACACATCTGGCTGAGACACAGGAGTTCCGTAGGAGGGAAATACTACCTCTGGGAGGTCTGTTGGAAAGTTAACTTGCCCCTAAAGATGCAGATTAGAGTTCACTGTTTAACAGTGTTGAAGGCGGTGGCTCTTTTTCACAACTGGGGTCATTGGTCCAGAACATTATACATAACCATCTTGAGTTTTGAGGAGGATGCAGCTTCTTTTGTGGGTCGGCCTAGGTTCAGGGCTTCTCTCACCCTGTTATAAAGAGGAGGTAGAAATCGTGTCTAAAGAGGAGAGGGAAATTTTGTCATTTTAAAAGAGGAAGAGCCTGCCAGAGCGCATTGAGAAAGAAATACTGACATACATAGGAATGAATTGTGTGGGTGCCTGTTAGCGAGCGGAAATTATGGCTGATTATTTAGAATAAGCCCAAATAAAAGAATTCATTATATTTTCAGTAATTTCTGAAAAACTTAAATAACATAGTGCTAAGATAATTAGTAAAGATATAATTGAAAATTCTGAAATGAATCCCTAAACTCAAAGTGATGTTAAGTGGTAACTGGTGTTTGGACTTAAAAATTGAGTCAAAGAAATTTACAGTGTGGTAAGCTAAAAGGGGGACTTCCCTGGTGGCTCAGATGCTAAAGAATCTTCCTGCAGTGCAATAGACCTGGGTTCCATCCCTGGATTGGGAAGATACCCTGGAGAATGGAATAGCTACCCACCCCAGTATTCTTGCCTGGAGGATTCCATGGACAGAGGAGACCCCATAATCCCCATAATCCATGGGGTCATAAAGAGTCAGCCATGACTAAGCAAGTAATACTTTCACTTTTTTCAAGCTGAAAAGGGAGTTTTTCAAAGGAAATAATTAGAGATTCATAAAAAGTTTCCAAAAAATGTACAGGTAAGGCCCGGGTTTCCCCCTATTTATCCCCCAATGATAACATCTTAGGTAACTACAGTACTATATGAAAACCAGAAAATGGTGCTGGTTTAATCTTTAGAGCTCATTGTCTCTGTGTGTTTATGTATGTGTGTGTGATTTCTATGCAATTTTATCATCAGTACAGATCCTTCTACCACCACCACAATAAGATATAGGACCAGTCTATCATTCCCACAAAGGTACCACACCTGCCCTTTACCATCACCTCCATCTTCCTCCCCACCATATCTAATTCCTGTAAATCACTAATCTGTTCCCATCTATATATACTTTCAAAAATTCTATATAAATGGAATTTATAGTATATAACCTTTTATATTGTCTTTTTTTTCCATTCAGCATAATTCTCTTGAGATCAAGTTGTTACATATATCATTTTTCTTTTTTTAAATAAATATTTCACTGTGTGGGTGTACCACAGTTTAACCATTCACCCACTGAAGGATGTTTCATTTGTTTTCAGTTTTAGGTTATTATGAATAAAGCTGCTATAAACACTTGTGTGCAGATTTTATGTGAACCTAAGATTTCACTTTTCTGGTATAAGTGCCTAAGGGTACAACTGACTGGGTCATTATATTATGTGCATACTTAGTTTTATAAGAAACTGCCAAGCTATTTTCCAAAGTGGTTGTACCATTTTACATTCCTATCAGCAAAATATGTGTGATAAATGGTGCATTGATGATCTATTAAATGAACTTATTAAACTGAAGTACAGTCAAATGTTTCTTTTATCAATACTATCTACTACTCTACTAACCATAATTGCTTGTTTTCTTGAACCCTGACAGACTAAACTTCAAGATCAGGCATCCTGTGCCTAACATAGTGACTAACATATATTAGACCATCAGTAAATATGTGTTCAGCAAATCAACAAATTAATGAACAGAAAAAGAATAGCTGAATCAGTTTGAAATCAAACTGAAAAATTGAGTTGTCCATAAATTATAACTAGAACTGAATTTGAACTGGATACCATGATTTTTTTCCAATATATAACATTTTCCAGCTAGAAATTGGCACTCTATAAGGTAAGTCATTTGTGGGTCAATTAATCAGTAAAAAATAAATGCCAAATTACATCAGGCCAAGGTTATTTGCTGTAGTACTTTAATAGCAATAAGTTGAAAATAATCTAAATGGCCAATGATATAAAACTGCTTTGATAAAATATCTATACAACGGAATACAATAGTTAATAAAATAATCAAAAAACTATGCAAAGAATGAACACCTTTCAAAGAAATTGATAAAAAGGTTAGAGAAAAGTATGTAGAGGATGCCCATTCTTATGTAAAAATTTAAACAAGGAAGGAAGTTTAAAAAGATATAAGCATTAAAGATGTTAATATTCCAGGAGGCGGCGGCGGCGACGGTTACGCGGCCAGCGCTGGCACCATGTACCCGCTGTAACGCGCAGACCGCGCTGCGAGGCGGGGCGGGGGGAGAGGAGGAGGACGCCGCGGTGAGTTCTCCGCCATCAACCTGAGGGGCCTGTTCCAGGACTTCAACCCGAGGGGATGTGCTACATTCGAACCAGTTGGCCAGAAACTGCAATTATTTACACCCCACGAGAAAGCTTTGAGATTGGACAGGCCAAGGTCATCCGTCAAAGTGTGAATGACAAGATTACAGTTGTTGGAGCTGGAATTACTTTGCACGAAGCCTTAGCTGCCGCTGATGATCTTTCCAAGCAAGATATTTCTATCCGTGTCATTGACCTGTTTACTATTAAACCTCTGGATGCTGCCACCATCATCTCCAATGCAAAAGCCACAGGTGGCCAGATTATCACAGTGGAGGATCACTACCCAGAAGGTGGCATCGGGGAGGCCGTCTGTGCAGCCGTCTCCGTGGAGCCTGACATCGTGGTCCATCAGCTGGCAGTGTCAGGGGTCCCTCGGAGCGGGAAGCCCAGTGATCTGCTGGATATGTTTGGAATCAGTTCCAAACACATCATATTGGCTGTGGAACATATTTTAATGCAATAGCTTAGCTGTTGGCTTTGAGCAACAGACTGGCCTGTTTACCTTACCTTATGTTTATGCTTGTTGCCAGATGATCACTTAAATCTATGCTATTGTGCTTTATTCTTTTTAAAAACAATGCAAGTTAACTGCTTTCTTGTTAAGCCATAACTACATATACATGTATAACTCTTACCTTTGAATCATTAAAGTGGATTATAAGAGAAAGTTTGAAGTGACAGAATAGCTAACAAAACAACCATCTAATAGCAAGTTTTCTGATGAGACTAGAGATAATGGGGTAGAGACCAACATAAGGTATAGACTGCAGTCACCCAAGTTGGGCAGCATTATACCACCATGCTGCCCACTGATGGCCCGTGCATGAGGTCAGGTGCTGCTATCCTACCTGTAGCCTTCCAGGTACTGTGTGACTGCAGTTGGTGTGGAATTTCCTCTGGTGTTTGCCTTCATCCCTCCTCTCCCGTGCACAGAGGCTGTGGAGCAGCGGTGAAAGTTCTTAGGATGTCCTGTGCTGTTTGAATTGACTGTTCTGTGAAGAGAGGACACGACTAGGTCTGACCACACTGTGCTCTCTGGTGAGATCTCAGGAGTGTCTTATTTACCCAGTGACCAAACCAAACTGTTAGCTCAATTGTACTCATCTACTGACGATACTAAAGTTGATGTTAATAAAGCAATGAAGAACCGAAAAAAAAAAAAAGACGTTAATATTCCAAATCATTTACAAAGTATTGGGTGTAACTGAACTACCTTATGTCAGAAAGCAAATAAATGCTAAAAAATTTACAGGAACATGTTGAAAATACAGGAGAAAGTTTAAAGGGACTCATTGTGGCCATATTTGGGACAATTATTAAGTGAATAACGACAGCAGGAGATTATAACACATTGACTAAAAACACAAAAATAAAAAACAGAATGTGAGTCCAAACTGCTATTTTAAAAATAAACAACAAAAAGACAGAGGAGAGAAAGCAAAGTTCTTGACATGAGAATGATAAAATAACACTGTTTTGCCGTCACCACAGTAGTAACTGATTCATGCAAGGATCATTAGTGGATGCTAAAGCCAAGGGTGAGATTTTGCAGGGGAAGAGAAATTTCATACATTTTCAAAGTATTACTTCCATGGCTGATGTTTACTTTTTTTTTTAATATTTGTTAATTACAAGTGTCAAGGGTAACTTTACAATAGAGAAATATAGCACACACCTTCACCAAATGATCCAGCTTACTGTGTTTGTTTCCTATTGGCACTGTGAAAAAATCACCACAAACTTCCTGGCTTACAACAACACAAATATATTATCTTATGGTTCTGGAGTCCGGAATTCTGACATGGGTCTCACTAGGCTAAAATCCAGGTGTTTGTTGGCAAAGCTGTTTCTTTCCGGAAGCTCTGTGGGAGAACCTTTCCCTTGCCTTCTTCAGCTTCTAGAGGCCCCTTGCATTCCTTAGCTCATGGGCCTCTTCCTCCATTTTCAAAGCCAGTAAAGGCTGGTAGAGTCTTCTTGGGATCACATCACTGGAATTTAAAAGTACTTCTGGACTTAAAAGGACCCCTGTGATGATTCTGGGCCCACCCAGGTAAAATCCAGGATAGTCTCCTCTCTCCCTCTCTCACAAATTCCTTAATTTAATCACACCTGCAAAATCCCTAATGTCACATGAAGTAATGTCTATGTGTTCTGGAGCTTAGGACAGGGACATCTCCGTGGGGTTCATTATCCTGCCTACCACACTTACCATTAGAGATAACGCATCAGCATTATTTGAATTATGCTGTAACATACTGAGAATAACATATCACTTAAGGTAGTTTCCTGACAAAAGAAATACTTGTCTAAACTGAAGAACTTTCTGAAGCAACTGGCCTCCACTATTCAGTGCTGTAAAAAAAAAAAAAAAATCGGGGAATTGTTTCAGATTAAAGGAAGAAGACTACAGAAACAAGACAAATACAACGTATAATCCTTGAGTGGATCCTGGATAAAAACAGAAAAATATAACAGGTGTCACACAATTGGAAAATTTCACTATCAATGATATAAAAAATAATATTGTATAAAATTCAATTTCCCCAAGTGTGCTAATTGTATTGCTTGTTCTTAGGTATAGTATTTCAAAGTAAAGTATCGTGGTGTCTGCAACTACCCTCAAATGGTTCAGAAAAAAGATCAACAGAAAGTAAACATGGCAAAATATTGCTCCTGCTGCTGCCAAGTCACTTCAGTCGTGTCCAACTCTGTGCAACCCCATAGACGGCATCCCACCAGGCTCCCCCATTCCTTAGATTCTCCAGGCAAGAACACGGTAGTGGGTTGCCATTTCCTTCTCCAATGCATGAAAGTGAAAAGTGAAAGTGAAGTCGCTCAGTCCTGCAGCACTCTTAGCGACCCCATGGACTGCAGCCCACCAGGCTCCTCCGTCCATGGGATTTTCCAGGCAAGAGTACTGGAGTGGGGTGCCATTGCCTTCTCTGGCAAAATATTGACAACTGTTGAATCTAGATTAGTAGTATAAATTAGAATATAATGCAGGCTATAGGTATAATTTTAAATATTCCATCAGCTACATTAAAAACAAAAATAAAGAGAAAATATTAATAATTTGTTTTAATAATATTTTAATTCATATATTCAATTTGCATTTAAGATGTACTCAACTATTAATGAGTCTTTACATTTTTTTCCATACAAAGGCTTAAAAATCCAGTATTCATTCAACAACTATAGAACACCTCAACTCTTACTAGCCACATTTCAGCGCACAAGTAACACAGTGGATGCTGGTACTACTAAATTAGCCCAAGATGGATGAAGGGTATATGTGTGTTCATTGCTCTATACTTGCAGTTTTCTGTAGGTTTGGAATATTTCAAGATAAAAAGTTTGAGGAAAAAGAAATAGATATTTCTAGGAAATAGAAAATAAAAACAATTTAAAATAGCACAGACGATTTCCAGTATACAGAAGAAACTGTTAACAATGGTCAGCTCTGGACAGAAAACATGAAGAGTGATTACAAGATGAAAGAGGGATGATGTTTCTTGCTGTACTTTTTCCAACACTTTGTACAAGATTGGGACCAAACCTATTACAACTTAAAATTATTCTAAAAGTAATAACTGCTTTATCTTTTTATCCAAAACCAGATACTTTTCATGTAAACTCTGAAAATCCCCAATTCAGAAGTAAGAGCTCCACGTACAGCGCCCGATTTCCGAAAAATTTCTTGATACAGGAAAGGAGTGTGGGTCCCATCTAAAATATAGCAATTACGTTTAGAAATTTCTTCTGGTGATGTTTCCATCTTCACTTATTAAGTCACTTTAATCTTCCTGTTTGCGTATTATTAGATAATTTTTGACAAATTTTATCAAGAATCTAAACTCCATTTCTGAATTGCTGAAAACAAGAAAAATATCCTAAAGTCTACGGTGATGGACGAAGGCTGTAATTCACAGTGGCGCCGGATGTTGCGAGCAAGTTCATTACAAATTTATATCTGTTTTACTTAAGCCTCCTTCCATCTTGCAGCGGAGCGGGGTCTCTAGGGTTACATCAGTCCAACTGAACGGTCGGCATTTTCAAAGCTGAGTTACATGCTATTGCCTTCTGCTCCTATTTCATGAGGAATTCTGAACTGAGGCTGGGCTGAAAGGTTTCTTGATTCCTTTGGTAATTGCATCATTCCCTGGCCTTTTCTCGACATAAGAAGTGAAGCAACTGCCCAGATAATAGTGCACAGGCCCGGGTTTCTTCACTAAGCAAGATACCCGCAGCCGTCCTAGCTTCGGTAATCTGACTCCCCAGTAAATAAAACAGTCGCGTCCTAAAAGGCCACGAAGCCCTTCATCGTCCACGTTGACACCGAAAGGTCGTGTGCAGGGTCGCACCGAGCTCTATACCGGGAAACGCTCTCTGCTCGGGGCAATCAAACGCTCGATTTCGTAAAAAGTTTCGTGGGATTTTAACAACTGCGTGAGAAGGAAAGACAGAAAGACATATACCGAAAGAGGTTAGATTTAGAAGGAGCAGCTAAATGACTGAGAAAATAATAAAGCAAATACACGGTTCTGGGCAGTCCTTTTAACATTGTCCAGGTATAGATATTTACACGTCACGTAGTTTGGATCCAATCCCAGGACGCCTTCTGCAGCGTGGCAGTCAGAACAGGATTCGATTTGGAGGCTCCAGCAGGTCCCCCTGGGTGCCGTCGCGGAGCTAGCCTGAGAGCGCCGAGAATTTCTCAGAGTTTGAGAGACTGAAATCCAAAACCGGAAAGAAGTAGGCAGGGTTTAGAGTCAACAAGCTTACCCGCCATTGGTCCAGTTTACGTAGAGACTTTTACAGAACCAAATAAGCCTTGGTGAGAAAACTTATACAAGCTCCCTGGTGGTCTAGTGGTTAGGATTCGGCGCTCTCACCGCCGCGGCCCGGGTTCGATTCCCGGTCAGGGAAACATTTGTTTTCTTGACCCCCCCCATTATTGCTGTTCCGAGTTACTGATTTTTCTCCCGCTATGGTTGTTACCGATTTTTTTTTTCCATTATAAAAATTCAATTCGTTTCTTTTTTAATATTACTAAACCTAAGACTTAAAATACACCATACCTTTTAACAGATAATTGCAATCAAACAACAAAGTAATCTCTAATTCTAAAATACTCTAAATACAACTTGAGCCACTTATAAAATTGCATTTTCCAGCTTTGGAAGATAATTTGGATGTGTATACAAACATTAATTTATTGAACCTTGTGCATATGGAGTTTCCTTTGACTAAGAAGAGGAGGAAAATAATTTTAGGAGGGATTCTATCTATTATACATCATACTAAGAGTCACGTTTCATATATTTGGATTATGTGTTTTGTAGATTGCATATAGTTGCATTGTTCTTATCCTGTTCTCCGTTATGAATCTAATTTTTGAGGTATGTTGTTGGTTAATTAACAAGTAATTACTTTATATTTTCTCTTACCATTCTTCTACCTAACCATTATGGTTAATTATTTTACCTGTTGTATTTTAACTTTTCTCAAAGACATTAGCACAAATATGGCAAATTTCTTGCATCCAGTGTGTTAGTTCCCTGTAGATTTATCATATAGGCAAAGAAAGACTCTTGCAGCTTCCTCAAAAGAAAATATGGAAATGTTGGCATCAAAAAGAAGATAAAATGGTGATATTAATATATAGACATTACATTTCTTTAATCTAGAAATTTCAAAATCATTCTAACCTTTGCTATTTTTTAAGCTACTGTGTGTGTGTTTTTTTTAACCATTTCATGTTAAGCCTGAAGTTTCACAGTAGCATAGAAATAAACTAAGAGCTTGATTACAGCTCCTATGGCTTTGTCTTACTTACCTTTAATCTGTGCTGAGACTGGTTTGGAAGAGGAAAATGTTTATTAATGGCCCAGGGGTTGGAAAAAGCAGAAGGGTTTAAGGAGTGTTTCATGAAGGATTTAAGACACAAATATATTTGTTATTATTGTTGCCATTAACAACCAAAAAAGGCACCATTTCTCAACAGTTCGTTATGTGGTGTGGCTCAGTGGTAAAGAACCCAGCTCCCAATGCAGAAAACACAGGTTCCATCCCTGGATCGGGAAGATTGCCTGGAGAAGGAAGTGGCAACCCACTCCAGTATTCTTGCCTTGGAAATCTCATGGATAGAGGAGCCTGGCAGGCTAGAGTCCATGGGGTCGCAAAAGAGTGGGACAGGACTTAGTGACTAAACAACAAAGGTACTTCAAATTGAAGTACGTGGTGAGGAAAGGGAGAAGGAAGTGGATATGAGAATGAAAATAGAACTGAAAACTGGTTCACCAAATAACCTAGAGGCTGTTAGGATCTGGAAAGCCTGAGAAAGGGAGCATTTAACCTTAGGAGGTCCAAAGCCTGGCATCTACACCAAGGGTGGCTGCACCAGGCTGGCTATATCAGGGCACCTGGGCCAGGGAACAGTGCAGGTCCAGGTCAGGCAGGTTAGTGTAGCCACATTATGGAGGACCTGAAGACAAGCTACAGAGTCGCAAAGGGAATGCAAGAAGCCTAGGTATTTGATAGGACAGAAAAGCTTAAGAATAATAGGGAAGAAGCAGTGATGGCTCTGGAAGTTGTGTTCTGTGTGGTTAACAAAATTGGAGTGAAAAATAAATAAATAAATAAAATTGGAGTGGCCTGAAATGTGATTAGAAGGTTGAGATGGGGAAACAGACTCAGGAGAGTTTGATCCCAATTGGGATCAAAGTTCAGTTTGATCCCAATAGAGGCAGCACAGCTAAATAGTGGTTGGAAAAACAGGATGGCACTTAGGAAGGTAAGGGATTTTGGAGCTATTAGCTTAGAAGTTTGAGAAGATACGGGCTCTCTTTCAAAAAGAGAATCTATAAAAAGGACAGAAGACCAAGGAATGAACCAAGTGAAAATACATTATAGGAGAATGGAAAGAAGTAGAATAACTATGAAGGAAACAGCAAAAGAGCAGTAAGAGAGTTTATAAGCAGATCAGAGAAATTTAAGAAGGAAGTAGCAATGAAGAGAATAGGATATTGCAAAAAGGTTGGAAATGTCAAGGAGAATATCAAGGAAATTAAGCAAAGATGGGTGGTGAGACATGGCTGCTGGGTGCTGAATAGACCAATGGAAGCCAGACCACAGGCAGTAAGTCTGTCTAGGTGGCCATCGCTTTAAATGGGGCTTTCCAGGTGACACTAGTGGTAAAGAACCTGCCTGGCAATGCAGGAGACTAAGAGACACAAGTTCGATCCCTGGGTTGGGAAGATCCTTTGGAGAAGGGCGGGGCAATCCACTCCAGCACTCTTGACTGGAGAATCCCATGGACGGAGGAGCCTGGTGGGCTACATGGGGCTACATGGGGTCGCAAAAAGTCAGACACGACTGAAGCAACTAGCACACACATGCATCACATGCTGAAGGTCTGAGCTAGTCTTAGAAACAGCAAACATAGCAATAACTAGATGTCACAGAAGAGCAGATACGGAGAAGACAAAGAGGTCTTAGGAAAGCACAGAACACTCTCATTCAGGAGCCAGAGGCTGAATTAATCTTGTCTGACAATAGCAGCTGAGTTCCTTGATTATTCCCTGGTGGCTCAGATGGTAAAGCGTCTGCCCGCCATGCAGGAGGCCAGGGTTCAATCCCCGGGTCGGGAAGATCTCCTGGAGAAGGAAATGGCAACCCACTTCAGTATTCTTGCCTGGAAAATTCCATGGAAGGAGGAGCCTGGTGGGCTACAGCCCATGGGGTTGCAAAGAGTCGGACACAACTGAGCGACTTCATTTACTCACTCACTCTACCTTGGGAGAGTGACTCAGCTTCTCTGAGCCTCTGGATCTTTGCCTGCACAATGGAAGTTGCTACTAGCTCCCACGCATGCTTCACAGAGTTACTGGCATCCATTCATTCATTGGTTTAGCAAGCACGTATGGACGTTTTACTGGGTGTCAGTCACTGTTCTGGGCACAGGTAAGAAAGGGCAATAAGACTGTCTAGCACAGTTGAGTAGGAATCAAAGGAGAAAGTGACTAAGATTTGATTATGGCCTATTAACTTGGAAAGGGTGCTGGTTCGGATCGAGGCACAGCAGGAAGTCAAGTTGCCTTTAGGTTTGGACTAAGGAGAGGTCATTCAAATGAAGCTGTCCTGCACGTAGGTTGACTTTTTTTTTTTTTTTTTTTTTGACTTAATGATAGATTCAGAGGAGACTCAGCTTTGAAGTGAGAACTGAACCCTCAAGAATGGAGATGCACACCAAGAGACTGAATGCAGCAAAAAAGAAGAGCTGAGTTTGCAGGACTAGCTAGGGGAGAATAAAGGAGGAAAGTCTGAAGGAGCAGAGTCAGGATAAGTCAGGGTCAAGGAAGTCAAAGAAGAAAGACCCTGGAGATTGTAGGGTAGTCATTTATAGCAACAACACATTTCTCTTGCTTGGTTTATTTTTTAATGGAGTTTTGTTTTCTTTGATTATGGTTAGAATCATTTTAATTGCATTTTACCTATTTTATTTTTTGTCAATTTTTCTACATGATATTGTGATTTAGACACAAAAATATCACATATTTACAATAGCCAGGATATGGAAGCAGCCTAGATGTTCATTGACAGATGAATGATAAAGAAGATGTAGTACTTATACACAATGGAATATTACTCAGCCATAAAAAAGAACAAAATGTTGAGTCAGTTGTAGTGAGGGGGATGAACCTGAAGCCTCCTATACAGAGTGAAGTAAGTCAGAAAGAGTAAAACAAGTACTGGATATTAACACATGTATATGGACCTTGACAAATGATACTGATGAACGTAGTGAAGAACAGACGTGTGGACACAGCAGGGGAAGGTGGGGGTGATGAGAACCGAGTAAGCAGCATTGACATATATACACCGTCATGTGTAAAACAGTGGAAAGTTGCTATATAATCCAAGGAGCCTGCCTGGTGCTCTTTGATGAACTTGAGGGCTGGGATGTGGGGAGGGAAGAGAGGCTCAGAGGAAGGGGATACATATATAATTGTGACTGATTCACATTGTCATATGCCAGAAACCAACACAACATTGTAAAGCAATTTTCGACCAATTAAAAAATAAAAAATAAATACATCACACAACCTACACATAGCACAACGTTGTTTCTGTTGTAGAGACAGAATATTTTACCCCATTTCTTGCTTTTTGAAGAGTGGGGGAAAGGTGAAGGACTGTCTGCAGAAATACTCCACATCTGAAGAGGTTTCTTAAGGGTAAAGGAATAGAAATTAATTAATGTGCACAAAATATAGCAAGAGTTATTTGCTGTATACCAAAAGATGTATTTCTGTCAAACTGCTTTATTTGAATAATCATCATTCACCCAAGGATGGACTTTGACTTGGGCTGACAAATTCTAAAATTATAAGGATGTCTGAAAATAACCAAGGGTGGGGAGGTGGTGAGGGGACTTTCAACAGCAGCTAGTACAGTGCCCGACATATGGTTGGTGTTAAATGAGTGAATTAACTAATCAGTTGAGCCAAGAAGTAGGTTGCTAGGTCTTCACTTAAAACCTAACCCCTCATAATACTCTTTTTTATGAATCACGCCTTTATATTTCCACTGAGAACAGAAAGTAGAAAAAGAATTCAACTGAGTCATCCTGAATAATGGCTATCGCTACTGTGTTCTTTCAGATGATTTCTAAATAATTTCTGTGAATTTCTATGACATATTTAACATAATAGTGCATTTAATAATTTG